GTTAAAAAACATGTTCGGACAATAATGGTAATAATTTAGTTCAATTCATAGATCAATGCCATTTATTTATTTTTAATTGCACAACTATCAAACTTTAGGTTACATTCAGATTGTGAAATTTAATTCACATTAAGTTGCATTATTTATGCTAACTTCTCAGTCCAGAATTCATGGAGAGTATTTATCAGTAATTATTGATCATCTGTATTTGAACTTCGATGGGAAATTATGATTCTAGATCAAATTAACTATTGATCTGGCTCATTAAATATAAAAATGTTAACTCTATATATTATGCCACTCTGCTTAATTTTTCGTCAATGCAACTTAAAACAACTTTGGCTTAATAAATGAGAGCGTTACTTATATTTACTAGTAGAAACGTTATTCGTAAGAAATTTATTTATATCAAATGGCAGGCGTTTTGATAGTTAACATTAGCCCTTTAGTTCACTTCAGGCGTCACGGAGAGGAAGAAACATCAAAGTGGAAAAAGTCGGGAGAGGGGGGGGGTGGAACGGAAAAGTGTTCTGAAGATGTAAAAGAGACAGACACAAAGGTGGAAAAAGGTGAGGTGAGAACTGTGGTAGGGGTCGAATATGACATACAGTGGAGTGATGGTAGTTTGAAGTCAGAAGTCAACTGCCGGTTGATAGACATTTTTGCCGTATGGGTATACGTTGCCCAGGGTGCACCACGTGAAGGTAAGTCTATCGCACGCTCCAACTATTCGTAAGAAATAATTTCGTTGATAGGTAGCCTATGTAATGAATTGGGGATATGTAAATTAAGAAATCCATAGGAAAGAACTCAATTCTTCGAGTATTTGATAATGTCTACCGCTCAGGCTGAAGGAGAAAATGACGAAATGGCTTATTTCTACAAAAAGAACTAATTTACTCAATTTACTTTTACTCACTGATCCACTGGTAAGAGTATTCATTTTTGCATGGAAATACCAGAGCAGGCTTTCTAACCAAATAATTACTAAATGGAAATAGTATGATTGTCTATTAGTATAGGACTTTCCACAAAACGTCCAGTATTCATTACCATTAAATGACATATAAAATAAATCTCCCGTCTCTTATTTTTGTTGAAATCAAAATTCTTTTTAATTAAAATGATTTGTATATAATGACCAATATGGCATCAGGGCGTTAAATTCGAAAGTATGAAAAATATTTATCGTGGCAACATACAAAAGTGAGAATCCCGAGATAGTGACAAGTTTAATATCCAGACTTCAACATCTCCCTCTTATCACCCGCATTTTCCATGCTTCAAATGTCTAGATTTCTGTTCCCGTAATTCAGATGCTTTCTCGTGGAAACTTGTTGAGCTTCAATACATCGCATTAACTTGATAAGGTGCCAGTTGCCTTAGCGAGAAATGGCCTTAACATATGTAGTAAAGAAATGCCTTGGCTACTTCAGGCTAATTGCCTTAATTTGCTCATTTGAACCCCAAAAGTCGTGGCAAAAACTAAAGTTTTGTTGTTTAAAATGAGAAGATGAGAAATAGAGTTGTTGAAATTGCTGATAAAATTTCTCCTCACTCAATATGAGATTTGTATCCCTATCCCCTTGAGTTAAATCAAGGAGAGGCATCAAAATTTCCGATGTACTAAACTTAAGATCATCAAATTGGCAAGAACACACATCCGAGGTTAAACATTTTAGAGGCCTACTTTGTCTAACGCAAGGTCACAATGGCGTAGAACCTATATCACGATAACTCGATAATTTCAGCCTAAAAAATATTTAGCGATTAATGTATGATCGCATTGAATATTAACGTTTGATTTAAGGTTAGTGGAGTGATTAACGTCCTGGTATTAAACGAAGAGGGCATTGGATCATTCCCCATAGGGGTAAAATTAGTCAACAATTTATTTATATCAAATGGCAGGCATTTTGATAGTTATCATAAGCCCTTTAGTTGACTTCAGGCTTCACAGAGAAGAAGGAACATCAAAGTGAAAAAAAATTCGAGAGGGGAGGGGGGAAGGAAGGAACATCAAAGTGAAAAAAAATTCGAGAGGGGAGGGGGGAAACAGAAGAGTATTTCAAAGATGTAAGAGACAGACACAAAGGTAGAGTTAAAAAGGTGAGGTGAGTACGGTGAAGTAGTCGAATATGACATATTGTGAGGTGATGGTGTTTTGAAGTCAGAAGTCAACTGCCGAATAATAGAATTTTTTTGCCGTATGAGTATACGTTGCCCAGGGTGCACCACGTGGAGGTAAGTCTACCACACACCCCAATTAGTCAACAAAATGGCCATCAAAACTGATAACGTCAGATTGACATAACGATCCCATGACGTTGCTCTGAATTTGAATTGTTTCTCCCAAATTTACATTGGAATTGTTGTTTTAGCTAACAGAAAATAAGCGAACGGATGTTCATTAAAATGTGAATTAACCTCCATAGTTAGTCACAGTTACTAAAACTAGGCAAACAAAAAGAAGTACTTTCGAAGGATTGGGCATTTCTCCAAAATAACGTAAGGCAAAGGCACCAATATTCTGAGTATTTTTTAAAAAAAATATGCAAATTTTCGGGAAATATTTAACAATAAATAATTCATTGCACTTTTACATGGCGCAAATTATACATTTGTATACAGCATCTGATACCTAAGGTTATTCCACCATACACGTGGGCATTGAATCTAGCTTCAGTCTTTTCGAAGTGCTATGAGGCGTCGAGACTAACGATTGGTCCGATGACTGATCTTGGTCTACGCAGATATATATATATATATATATATATATATATATCTTTACCCGTGATTTTATTGTGATTTATCAGACCCAAAATTATTTTAGCATTTCCTACCGGAAATAAACATTCTTACCATTATGTTTCATTCTTTTTTTAAAAAATGGATTTGATCTTATTAGAGAAGAAACGCCAGACATTAGGGCAACTCATCAGATCTGTCTCTTAATGCCGCAAACATAATCAACAGCATGGGTCATCTGAGGTCACGCTTCTGCTCGGTGTCCGAACTAGATGGAATGCTCTCTTATGTGCTTACAGCTCGCCAAGGTCAACATGGGCACGAAGTTCGCTGTAACCAATGCACCCCTGAATTTATTCAATTTAAAATGATGAAAGTATTTCGTCATCATCATAAGCCAATAAGCACAACTAATCCGATTTTCTTCCAAATTCATTAAGAAAAGCGTTTTCTAACGCTCATTTTGCTGAATGACTCGAATACTACCATCTTTTCATTAGCCCGACTAAATAATTGTCGAAAAGAAACGAGCTCTTAATCTCTGATACACTAGACTGGACGGTGACCATAAAAATATCCATTATTTTTAATAAACTTGCCAAAATTTTTAAAGAGTAGATAAACACGTCTTTAATGTTTAAAAAACTATATTTTCCGGTATTATTTCGATTATTCACAGTAATACAAACAAGCAACCTTTGGTTGTGGGAAGTAATTTAAATCGCCTTAGTAGAAGTCCAAACGGATGATAAAGAGCATGGTTCAAAAAAAAGTGTCGAAATCAGCATCAAGGAATCAATGGGTCATAATTCATTTGATTTTTTGGATTCAAATAGTACGATATTTACTAAATTGGCAGCTCACTTTCCGATATTCGAATTTCCATTACTTCCCATAGTTTTCAGAAAGTGCTACTCTGCTTATTAAGGAAAAGCCGGTCTTACCGATTCATTTCATTTTTCCTCCAACAATTGAGGACGATCTTATCTGTTATTTTACATCTTAGTGAATCAATATAAGTGAATGAGATGGCTAAAATTTAATTACACTAAGCCTCAGAAAACAGAATTAATCAACGCGCCAGTGCTTAAGGTCAGGACCACTTTGGTTGGTTCATGTCAACTCCAATTAGTGGCATTACCATTCTCATTTGACAGATTCCAAAATGCTTTTTCTCCTTCACGTAAAGAAATTTAATAACTTAACAATTCATCAACATTATGATTGTATTGGGAATTTTATTTCCCACATGCATTTATTTCTAATTAAAATAGTTGAAAGAAAGGAATTGACGGGTCTACCTTAGAGCTTAAAAAACTATGAGCCAACTTTACAACGTACATGATTTGCATAAAATAGATGCATTCCGAGTACTTTTTGGCGGGTGGTTTCTAGCGTTCCTTCCTGGAAACTTGGATCCTTCTTGAAGATAGACTCAAATTTAACTACCCTCTAAGCCACTCAGACCTAATCAGTGGGGTCTTTGTCATTCCTTTCAAAGGGGTGGGGGGGAAGGAAATTTTTTGAGGTCTTTCTTCCCAGGGCTTTAATTGGTCAACAGTGATCCGTTCGGTCATTTCTATAGAAGTTTTGAATAGTCAGTTTTACTCTCCTTTTACATAATGCCAAGTAATGTGAAATAACAAATTCGGCTACTTTGTTAATGAAAGTAAAAATTAATTAAAGGTTAAGCCAATATAATATCGTTCAACAATATTTCGCGTATATAAAAGATCCGTTTCTTTATTTTTGCAAAAAATAGTCAGTAAATGTCTACCTAAAATGTTTTAATATTATGATGCTTTGCAAAAAAATAATGATGGCTTATCCAGGCTATTGTGAGCCAACTACCGACAATAAGGTCTAAGGTCTCTTAAGAAAGCTTGTTGATTGAGATCAACATATTATAACTTCGTTGCCTTTTTGACAGGATATTGCGTATTAAGCCCATCTCTCCTCGGGAGGTCAAAGAACGATTCAGCCAATTAGATTATGACCTGATGTGGCACCACGCTCTCAAATATCCTATAAGACATGAAGATCACTCATTCTCGGCGGTAGCTTAAAGGCTCGATCTGGTTTGTGTTAAATGTCCTCTTTATGCCACAAAGTAACTTTTTTGAGATATCGTAATCTAATCGTCTTTACGTTTCTATATCTGTCAGTCGAATATATTTAAGTGTATATAGATATTCTTTTTACATTGGAGGCTTTTAGATTTCACGTACTATTGAGACTCGTATATATCTGAAATGGGTGATCGGAACGATTACTACAGCGATTTATTTAACGGAAGACCTCCGAAGCGTGATAGTGGTTATGCTTCCAGCAGCGATACTAACGTTCCTGCCTTACCAAGAAACTCTAGCTCCAATTCATTGACATTTTCAATGAGCCTTTCAGATGATGATCTTCCAACTGCGAGGAGAGAATCATCCCCTGAAGTCGTACCTGCTTCTACTGAAATTACGCAATCCACAACAGTATTGCCTTCTGTATTCATAAAGGGTTTTAAGGAAGGTGGAATCGAAGTTCACGTACCTGGAGTAGTGCATGGTGTATTCTCCCCACCAGAGGGTATGAAAGTCCAATTTCGCCTTCCACAAGAAGGGGACACTGAGGAGAAAAATATGAATCTTTTTATAAAAGCCGGACTAAATCAAATAGATTATTACAAGGATCGTTGCGGGGAAATCCAATCAATTGAACCGGTTAACGATTGTTCAGAAACTAAACAGCCGACGGAAGCTAAGCAACTATATAGTAACTATTTCAACGGTGATAATTCTAATCAAAGTAATAATCCAGATACAGAGAGCGATGCTGGAAGTAACACCGATTCTGTTGGTGGAAATCCAAAAAGTAACAATTTGAGAACACGATGCAACACTTATTAAAATCCGCCCTCGAAATTCAATGAGTATCCTCCAATTTTGTGATAATGGCTTGTATAGGTTTGTAATCTACTTCAGATGCAGTTTTGTACTTATTTTTAATAGCAGTTTTAAAGTTTGGTAAATGTTTTATCTACATTTATTTTCTTGAGAATGATTCAAGTAACTGAGGAGAGCTAGAGAGGGGGATTCACTAAGGAGGTCGAGGGGTGGTTCACAACTAAAGCCTAGATTTAACTCGATAGATGGTTGGAAGGATGTACTATTTCGCACATACATTTATCGTGGGGATGAAGTGCAGAACTTGGCTCCTCACACACTATTACTAATGAGCGAGGCATTCAGTTTATTTTCTATGGCAATTGGGGAATGTAAATTAGCAATGCTTATGACCATCCCTTATGTGCAGTGTCCTAATGACTACTACATTACGCTTAAGACTTCTTAATTTGATGAGAATTTCCCGACTATTAACCATTTGAATCATGCGATAAGATTATTTTAATGGGACTATTTGGTTAATTAAAACAACTATAATACATTTCAAGATATAAAATCGATCGCAAAAGTGATTACCTTCAGTCGCCAAATTACTCTGCCAAACCTCTTGAGAAAGCGTACTCCCATGCAAATTACTTTGAAGTCATCGGTCACACGCATTCATTGTTATTCGAGTTTATATTTTTAAACCGTCACAACTGACCACTTCAAGCTCCGGTTTCGGATTATTCTATGGGGAAGAGTGATTTCTTCAATCCAATTCAATGAGGTTCAAAAGGGGGCCAATTAAATGTAACCTTCCCAGCTCAGAGACTCAAGAACATTTACTAGTATACGGTTTAAGCATTCAAACCTACTTATTCAAGATTACTTAAAAGTTATTGTATTGAGAAACAAAAATAAATGCATGCAGACACAAATTCAAAGTGGATGCATATTAAAATACAAGCCAACTCTGTTCTGCTAATAAGCCTAGAATCAAGCAGAAACATTGAATTTGTTTAAGCTTTGAAAAACAACGAATTCAAGAGATTGGGCCGACACTTTTAGCAGCAATTGCTCGCTAATTCGGGTGAAAAAAACGTAAAATATATTTATTTATTTCAAATGGCAGGCGTTTTCATGGTTATCATTAGCCCATTTGCTGACTTCGGGCTTCACAGACACGAGGAGGAACATCAAAGTGACAAAAAGTCGAGAGGGGGGGAAGACATACAGTGGGGTGATGGTAGTTTGAAGTCAGAAATCAACTGCCAGTTAATAGACTTTTTGACGTATGAGTATACGTTGCTCGGGGATCACCACGTGGAGGTAAGTCTATCGCACACCCCAAAATGTAAAATTTAATTTATGGAAAGTGAATTTTCCACTAAATGACCATTCGATATTTTTTCAAATTAGATTAAAATATAACTTACCTAATCTCAAAATCCCACCCCCCATTCATGATATTGGAATTTTGATAGAAGTACTTAAATGTATAAGCTCATTTATAGGCTTAGTTTGGCATAATAGTTTATTTAGACTATCTTCAGGGATCAACTTGACCAAAAAATGTCTTTCATTATCCCCGATTCCTCTTAGTCTCAAATCCAACATTTCTCTTTTCTTTCTTTGTCTCTATTTGCGTTTGGAATAATACCTATATAATTTTTTTTTCACTAATGCAGCCATTATAAATCAGGACAACTGGGATATGAGTCGCCACCTCAAACTGATGTGTTTTAAATTTGGAAATGTGGCTCTAAATTTATAGCGGTTGTGACCTTTGTTGATTTAAAACCCTGGTTGTTTAATTGAAGCGGATAAATACTCAGATGAAGTGTAATTTGTAGCCAACCCTAATGAAGAAGAAACAATGGTAACTAGATAAAAATGGAATTATTAATTTGGAAAAATGTAGTTAAGAATCGTCAACGTACCTCTGTCGTCTAATACGATGAAAATTAAACACTAGATTTACCGCGATCATCACGAGAGGGAAAAGATCTTTAATCTAATGGTTAGAAAATTTCCTCTAATATTGATCACATGATATTGGAAGCTAAAATCTCCCCTTCAATGAGGACACCTGAAGAGATTAGGATTCCCCCCCCCCCCTCAAAATAATATAATCTTTTCCTTCGAGCTTGTCGTGGGTCTCTCATGTCATCAGCTTTCCCCTTAACGTAGTACTGGTGGCACTTTTAAAGTTGCGTTTTAAACGATAATAAGTTGATGCGATATATGACGGTGATTGAGGTCAGTATGTTGACCTGAAATTTCCGCCACTCCACTCCCCCCCCCTCCTCTCCCCACCTACCTACCTACCTACCTAGAGAGTTTAGTGTATTTGACTTGCACTGATTCTAATTGCACTAAATAGCACGCAGTGAGTGATGAAAGGCACCTGATTGAGATTGAATTACCTAATCGATTATATTTTATAGTTTTAACGCAACTGGACGATAATATTATATAACTCAACTTTTTAAAGAGAAACTCCATCAAAAGTGAGCTTGGCGCCCACTAGTTATTTATTATTACCTTAAATAACGAATCACCAAATGTTTTGGTTACACTGTCGAATCTAGCGAGGAACTTAAGTGAACGTATATTTAGGAGAAGTGAAGGTTTCAAGAAAATAAAACCACCTTAAGAGTACATTGAAAGCTCTAACCAACCTTGCAATATTTTTTCGTTTAAATTGAAGTAAATAAGTTCTCACATATCTAATTGTATGTTCAGATTCTTCAGTAAATAAAGATACTACGAGTAGTTCTTGTTCTCAGAAGTTCAGCACAAATTCCGTGGCCGTCTCATTAGACTGATGTAAAATAATCTGCCTTTATGCATGCTGATCAGCATAGGAATGAAGAGAGTACGCAACGAAGTATGGCCATGTTAAGTATTGAGTGTATAACCATGCAGAGGTCAATTCGAAATTGTTGAGAATTAGATCCAGTGGTTAAGATAAATGGTGTCATTTCCAAACCAGGTTGGAGGTAGCATCACTTCCCCTCGTGAAAAAAAGTCGACAGGGGGGGGGAGGTAACAGAAGAGTGTTTCAAAGACGAAGGTGGAAAAAAGGTGTGGTGAGTACTGTGAAGCAGTCGAATATGACATAAAGTGGGGTGATGGTAGTTTAAAGTCAGAAGTCAACTGCCGGTTAATAGACTTTTTTGCCGTATGAGTACACGTTGCCCAGGGTGCACCACGTGGAGGAAAATCTACCGCACACCCCCCATTTGAAATGTTAATTGACAGCTGCTCTAGCTGTGCACAACTATCAATATCTCAATAAAGTAAATTATACTAAGTAAATAAGCGCGGTGGTTCGAGAAAGATTTTTTAACCGAGTATGAGGTTGACATTCCCTACATTCAAAAATGCTTTAAAATCCTCCACCTTAAATCAAGTAACTCAGCCACAATTAGAATTCTTTGAAATTAGTTTTTTGGAGCTATTAATCAATTGATGACAGATAACGAAATCTGAAGACGCTTTTATTCACTATATATACATATTAGCAAGCCTGATCATTTGCGGGACAAATTATCCCAAATGTACCTTAACCAGCGACTTTCAAGTCATGTATGTTTAGGTTCAGTGTAATAGCAAGTAGTCATGGATTTGATACCACTGGGTTCACAGTTGGTCGATTTTCAAACCAAAATGAGACTTAGGACAAGCTTTTTCAATTGCACACTAGACGCAATAAGGTCATTTCTGCAGTACATTGGAAAAATAACATCATGTGTTAATTAAAATTTGGTCAGTGTAGAGAAAGTTATTGGGATATATATTTCTTTTCATTTTTTTGTTGAATGCGTCCAAAGTTTCCATGCCATTCAGAATTGTTACTGGCGCGCTCACTCATGATCAATAAAATCGTAGTGGTGGGCGAACGGATTGTCGAAAAGTCTTAAAATAACAAAATTTCAGGCTTTGATTCAGTTACTTTTAACAATTTGGTAATTTGAAGGGATAATTGTGAGATAATCAAGAGGGCCAGAAAAGCGTTTTCAGATAAGTGCTTCACAAGTGAATTTTCAAAAGTTGTCAAGCTGGTGTCTGGTTATACAAAGCCATTCGTGTGGTTTAATGGCCTATAAGGACGAGTTGATAAAGTAGAAAGTGTTATACTATCTTATAATTTTCAATTCTTGATAGTCTAAGAGTATTAGCTCGTGTTACTAGGAGACTCTAAAGAAAGATTTTGCAGTTTTTCATTTTCTCTCTGCTAATCACTAACCCAATAGAGTTGGCTATTCTAATCCTCAAGTTCCCGCCTTTCAATCTTAAGATGGGCAGATAAGCAAGCTGTAATCATATTACTATGTTAATAATAATGAAAATTCCATGCGCCACTGTATCTAAGTGATGGTAATTTCTATTGCTTGAGAAGATGAAGCGAATCTAGAGAAGTAATTAAAGGAAAGGATTAAATATGAGGACAAGGCATTTTACTTTCATCGAAATCCTCAATTATGTTTCAAATGCTGAATGAATTCCATAACACCTAACCGTGAGAATGTGCTGAATTAAGCAGGAATACTCCACTTGTAAACGTTATTAACCGAGGTCTAACGCAAGTGAAACTGATATTTCATATCACAGATCTACTTAAGATTACCACTCCTTTATTTGAAAATGAATTAAAAAACAATTATCTATCCTTTTTTCGTTTATTTTTGACTACGCCAATCCGGTAGGTTCATCTACAGGTGTGTCCTGATGAAAGTAAAAAATGAAATTATAAATCACTTTTATTAATACGGATGTGAAGAAGGGTTATAAGCAGAGAGGAAGAGTGACTTTTTCCCAATTAGGAACTTGAAAATGTATTCGTTTTTTCCTTAAAGGCTTTCAAATGGAATTTAATTATTTGAATTATATTTCAGGACCCTCTTAAATTATGTTACCACAGACCTTTGTCTAATGCTATGCATCTGTACTGCCTAAGACATTCTTTCACTATTAGAGGTGAAGACAATTATTCTCTGTAAATTTCGAAAACATTCACACTCATATTGAAGAGCACAGCATTTTTCATTTAGAAGCTAACTTGAGGATATCTAAAGATCATCCCACATGCAAAAGTTGATCGAAACATAAACTCTAAGGCAATAGTTTATATTATCCTGTTAAACGCTCGCCTTCTAATTTTCAAAAATATTCCCTTTGAATCAGAATGTGATTTGTTCCTACGGATAGACAATTCTACAAAATCAATACTACTTAACAACATAAAGTAGCACGAATTCAAAACCATAACTAATAACGTTAATAAACATGGGAGGCGGGGTTGAATAACTCGAAAAATTGAAACTAATTAATTAAAACATTTAAGTATATAAATCAAAACTGTCATTTTAACATTAAATCGTTTAAACACACAAAAAAGGGAAGTAAGGAAAGACTTTTGTGAAGATAAATATATAAATGTAATGACAATAGGGAGGGGACATATTGAGCGTTATAAACTAGGAGGGTTATCACCGGAAGAAGGGCAAATAGGACCAGTGGTAACCATCTTGTAGAGGACCAAAAAGACAAGCAGATGCATGATCAGCACATATGCAAATGTCGCCAAGCGAACACCCCGGTTGTTAACTATCAACCGACCCTGAAATGTATACGGGAAGATAAATTAATCGAGTGGCTTTGCGAAGCATATAAGGACTTGGGTGAAGGAGTTGTGCAACTATGATGAAATTCCGGGACGTAGTGGTGCAATAAAATTTTAACAAGTTCCATGTGCATTGTAGTGATGGCGTAGGGATATGTTGATCGAATCTCATGACTTGGGCTCGATTGATGTTAGTGTATATACAATAAATGAGCATTCGGGCATTTTAAAAAAAAATTCACTGAAATGTCATGACATTAGAAAGTAATCTCTGGAGAGAAACAAAAGGACTACTTTTGACAGTTGAAACTAGAAATATGCTAACGTGAATCCAAAATACCTGATCAAATACAACTCGTTATGTAGTTCCTACTGTAGTTATAATCTTGTCTTCTAATCTTCTCTAGACAACTACCTTTACAAAACAACTTATTTAGTCTTTTTACTGTTTTCCTTTTCAATAGCTTTCATTTAATAAAAATAATACTACAGTAGCCCTGTTGATGTAATAATACTAATAATGGTTAATTGTACTGGGCTATTTCAGCACCTTCGCATCATTCCGCTAATTGTTTCGCAGCGTGTATCTCCTAATGTTGTACAAACCGAAAATATGAGTGTCTCCAAAACTAAAATATTTTAAAATCGGATAAATCAAATTTTGAATCCCCCCCCCCCCTCACGATCAGACAAATGTGGCTAGTGAAACTCTAAATTGCCTAATTGGCGACAAATACATATGTTCACATTTGGGAAACAACATTTGCAGCTCTGGTACTACATGTGCCTAAGTACTCTGGCCACAAGGGCCTTATGCACAAGGTTCAAACACAAGCTCAATTTAAGTTATGCAAAGCACACTGGTTTCAGAATCAAAATCATCCTTGTTAGTTCTGTGACACATTTAGAGGGCGAGATGGAAGATAATTAAAAATCCCACGACATATGCATATCCTAAAGGGTGAATGACAAACAACTCCATAGGTCTTAAAAAATTTCTTGCAAGCATCAACTCACCAGACTGTGCATGATTTTCTCATGCGCCTGAAGGGCTTTGTATCGTCTCTGACGTTCAAGATTACCAAACTGTTTGAAGGGATTCAATCGAGCCTCATAAGCATTTGAATATCGTGCTAGAACCTCATCTTCATGAGCACGGTTTTGGGCTGCATTTGGAGAGGAATTGTAACTCTGAACAAATCGAATTTTCTCGTATAATTGCACGTTATCCTGCCGGAGAGCTTCTAACTGTGTCTGAACTGCCACGACCTGCTGACGCATTGCCAGAAGATTCTAAAGGAGAAAAAGAAGAAGCCGAGTTATTAATGGTAGAGGCTTTGTGACTGTCAGGCAGATCCAATAGAACAGAGTTCAAATTTGATGCGTCAAAGAACGGCAAACATTGGAGTGTTACTGATACATCATTTTTTCGATCAATTCACCTGAAATATGTGATTTGTCAAAATTCTTCTCACTTGTAGTTCAAAAGTTAAAACAACTGGAAATATACTCCCTCTCAGCAACGACAATATTTTACTAAGATTAACTAAACCAATGGCAGAACTACTATTTTTATGAAAGCTTCGAAAGAATTTTAGATTTCGTGCACTGAAAAGCTAAAATGCAAATTCTTATTCCTTTAATCCCCAGTTTTGCGCTATTCATGCTTTATAAATCTTTATGTTCTGCGGTTAGAAGTACTAACTCTAAGCAGCCAGCGAGGAGGGGGGGGGGGGTTCAAATAGGCTAAGTGAGCAACCTCTACAGCCAATAAGGAAGAACTAACTAGAACGAGGGGTGATATGAGCATACACTGAATCATTGGCAAGTTATGATCTGAGGCATAATCCAAAGCAACGGTATGCCGATGGCTAAGATGATTGTCTCCTTTCCCTATTGCAGTCCTTAATATTTTGAGCCCATCATTCCTCTATTTTGCTTACTCAAATCTAAATAAACAAATAAGCCCCCTGTAGACCACGATTCTCTCACAATTTGGCTTAATACTTCCAGTTGCAAACTCTTTCTATGTCTCCATTATCGTTAACATATTAAGTTGCCTCTGAATATCCAATCGCTTTTACTCATTGGGTTATGATTAATATTAAAATAGTGATTTCAAGGTAAGCTAACTTTTCTTTCTACGAGAAAACAGAAAACAAAAGGCAAAAAAACGTAAACACTAACTTCTTCTAATTCCCGATTTTGCTGTCTCAAGCGATCACGCTGACTTCGAACAATAGAGAGGATAGACGATTCCTCTGCAGCAGCATTTTCTTCCATCTGATCGAAGAGTATTCCACTAAGTGGAGAATTCGGTTCCGCACCCTGTTCTTCCCCAACATGTGAATTCTCGTGCAGTAACTGGTGATGTGACTTCTGCCAAGCGCTAGCTCTATTAAGATCCTCCTCCAAACGATTTATAAGGACTTTTTGCTGGGCTTCACGTTCAGACAGATCAGCATTTTCAGATTTCAACATGTTAAACTCAACTAAATTTAAGAAAGAATGGTATAAATAGAGGGGGGGGGGAACTATGACTGATAAGTTAATTAAAGAGCATACTTTCAATTCGATCCTTCTCGGCATTAACGCTAGCAAGTCTATTCTGCAATTTTTCGTTCTTTCTCCTAAGTCTGATTTCAAGCGCCTCATCTGATGATAAGTTGTCATCACTTTGCTGACCAAATTCAATGGAACGGAGAACTTCCAACTCCCATTTGATTGCGTCATAATCACTTTTGAGTTGTAGTTCGGATTGAAGAGCTGATAAGGACTGCTGAGCTGACTGTAAGGCAGCTTCGGTCAACTCCAGACGAGAACGAAGGCTTACCGATTCCTCCTTGCGCTCGGTTTCAACTACATGCAAATGCGCCATTAGATCAGTAATCTGCAAATTTATAATACATTTATTTCTAAGTAGAAAGATTGTCGCACATTATGCAAAAAAACTACCTCTTTCTTCTTGGACTCAAGTTGAGACTCTAGTTCCTCTATTTGTGTCAAGAGTTGAACAGTTTCCGTGGGATTAGAAGTAAGGATCATAGACTTGTCATTGCCAGATTGACATTCTGAGAGTTGTATTTTGTGCTGTAGGGCTACTATTTGCTGAAAGTGAGTAAGTCATGCAATGAAATGCTTTTTAGCCAAGATATTTCAAAAAGGGGATTTACTTCTTGAGCTTTTTCAAGATCACTGGCAAGAATTTCCACTTCCTGGGATCTAGATAGCAAGGAAGATAATAAATTCAAATAGTTCTTACTTGGCAGACCGAACTTGCTCCAAACGCGATTGCAAATCGAAAATTTGTGACTGGGCGGATTTCAATGCTAAGTAATAAAAAAGTAGGGATTGGTAGCTAGGTTTTTACGTTAAATACTTTTAGTACAACAACAATCACGTGAAATAAAATAATATGGGAAGAGCGCGTTCACACATTAACATTGATATCAAATTCAAATAGTAAAAAATCGCAACCCCCCCCCCCCAATCGCTTTTACATTAACCTCACCTCAACTCCGATCTAAAGGGGCATAAGTTTAATTCAATAAGCCAATGATAAACATATAATCTAACAGGAATATTTATAAAACTACTCATTTATCACCACGTGGTCAGTAGATGTTACGTTGAGGTAGGACCACCATAGAGAGAGACAAAAGATGATAATGCAAATTATTTGTTATCAGCTATTTCATCGATGTAATGGGCTGAGTTTTCCCTGTTAACTCTTCATTTGAATGGTGTCTCAGCATGAACAATTTTCCATAGAAAGCACCGATAAATCATTTAAACGGATTCACATTAGATTAGACCACGACTTTATTTGAGACACTTTACTATGCTCGATAGGAAAGTTTTTCCTTATAAGCTTTCTAGAGTGCTATGACAAGAAAGGGATTGTTACTGAAACTCTCAGTTTCCTCAGAACATGATTTATATTAGAAACGTACATTCAGCAAGCGAAGCAGCTTTTAGTTCGACCTCTTGGGTCCGAGCATTGGCTTCGGCAATATGAAGACCTGTTTGATGCTCCTGCTCCTCCATGACTTTCTCAAGCCGTCGTTGTGATTGAGCACATTCCTCTTCAAGCTCCTCTATTCGAGCCTCAGTTTTTCGAAGCTGAGTCTCTGAAAGGGAGCAAACACCAATTCTAATATCTTCTTAGCAAGAAAATCGATAAATCGATGATATTGCGCCACTAATAATAATTTAGAAGTAGTAAGAGCATACAGTAATTTAAATTACGAAAAATGGCCGATTTTAACACAAAGTGGCAGACAGAATCTGTAATCGTTTTTTTCAACACAAGAAATTATTTTCAAACCTATCAGAAGTGTTCAAAATAACTATAAATGCATAATAACAACTTCAAAAACTGCCAAAAATATTCGGAAGGTAGTCAAAACAATGTTTAGATTATGCAATTAAGTCATGTTTCCGAGAGTGTTATAACGTAATTTTGAATCCGACTTTAAATAAAACACGTCACTTCAAGAATTCAGATAAAGAAAATTCAAACAAAGAAGTTATGACTAACAATGAAATAAACGTATCTTTAAAGGAATGATACAAAGGCACCTTTCTTCATTTATCATAAGTGATAGATACTTCAAGAATAATAAGTAATCCATGACACAATGCTTATGTAATTAAGTCTTAGAGTATACTAAGTAAGGTCGTCAAGATAATAAATAAAGTTAATAAGTGAAAAAGTAAGCATGTTCTAGCTCTTGAACAAGAGTCGAGAAATTCTACCAGAATCCTACAAAAATTATTAATCCAAAACTCTAAAACCAAGTACAATAGTGGCCAACATGCATGAAGAATGTAACCTTACAATTGCTTTCCAGTACTGCAATAATGATGAAATAAACCTTATTGACACTTGGCCGCATTAGCAAAAAGTAAGTTACGACCTAAAAAACACAGTGGAAAGGAGACACAACGCACCGTTCGACTTGGCCACAAGAATTTCTGCCTTTAATTCCCCAATAGTTTCCCGTAGTCTTGAATTTTCGGTCTTCAAATCAGAAGACCGTTGGGCCTGTTTAGTAATGGCCTCAACTTCCGCTAATGCCAATGAAGGATCTAACAAAAGAACGAATAATTATAAGCACTAACAGAAATGAACGTAATTTTGAAAAATATTGACAAAAAACTTAAGAAATAAAAGTTTAAATACAGTAACTCGGAAATAGACTAAATAAGGCACAGAAAATTTTTAAAAAGTTCTGTTATAGTCACCTGGCATTTCCGCAAGACGTTGGTACACTTGAATAAAGGCATCTTCTACTTTTTGGCTTCGAGAGGCGAGACTGTCAACTTCGGCTTGAAAACTTTTTAATACAGAGGCAGCAGCCTTTTTTGCTTCCTAATAAGGAAAAATGGTTAGAACCTATTCGGCCAATCGAAACAGGGTTGTAAAAATTTTGAAAGTGGGCTAAAATTAGTCATAAAATTAACATTTAAGCTAGAACATATGATAAAGTATTATAAACAAAAATTGGATTAGCAGATTGATACAGAACGATAAAAAGTAAACTAACCTCTGAAGCAGTATTACGAAAACGAAGAAATGATTCTACGAGCTTCTTCCTCGAAAGCCTACCCATTTCTTGAGTACTTGCAATTACTGAAGCTGTCTCACCTAATTCATTCTAAAACATATTTTAACAATATTTAATACCTGCAACTTCTGAAACTCTAGCTCGTTCCAAGCAACTCTCGTCGAGAAAATAACAGATTGCATTAGTTTACCTTTTGAATGTGCGGCAGCGTTGGCCCACTGAATAAACGAGTCAGATGTAAATTGTGAGCTAGAGCGCTACTTGATGTGAATTTTATTTTTTTCCGATCTTCTAAAAATATGGATTTAATTAGTTCTGGTTACAATAATCCATTAAATAACAAATTTGGGGACACTAACATTTTTTGATATATAAATGCGTCTAAATTATCTCTATGTACTACATTTACGAAATCTTTCAAAAGCCTTTATCAATAACCACATCCATGGATTACAAATCTTGGCTATGATACAGCTCGCGAGACAGCAGTGTTTCCATCGAACTCAATTTTTTATTATTAAAACAGCATTACCGGTTTAATATATAATATTATTGTGTATGACACCTAAAATGTACTTAAATATGCGCAATTGGCTGGAGTAATTTTAACAAGGCAGAGTATAGTTTGAGTATTAACCTAATTAAAGCATTAGAGAAGAATATATGATTCTTCCATACTTCTAGCACGCAGTGTCCGAAACCTCGCCGGCATAATAATATTTATTGTTCCTGTGTTTATTGGATATTAACGAGGAATTGAGCCTCCCAAGTTAAAAGAAGTAAATTCATATATGGGTTTTGCAATAAAGATTTCACTTTAATCGATATAAAAAACAAGGTTTTGAAAAAGAAGGCTTTTACAGGTTAAAAATTCATGTCGGTTAGGCATAAATTTGGGCTTGCATAACTCTAGTCCTAAATTTCCAAACACAATATATTAGCTATTTTGGATGCATATAATTTAACAACAGCACCTTATTCTTAATTCGAATATATTATTGAACAGTTTTGATGAAATTCTAAGATAATTGAGAAAGTGTAGGTTAAGATTAAATTCCCATGAATTGGAATCCTCAATTAGAGCGATAGCAAGGAGTATCGACAATCTTCTTCTTAAAAAGAAATCGTACAAGACGTTACAAGCGAATGTAACTTAAATAACTTAAACAGCTAATGTTGTAAACTACACCAGATTAATTGTCCATATTTAATCGAGTGTGAAAATAACCATGCCAATGCCACTGGTATTTCCACAGAACTAAATAATGGTTTAGGATATTTTAGGTCTATAATAGATTAGCATTTAAGGAAAAATCTTTTCTGGTTAAAGATAAGTTGTAAGTAGAAATAATTCTGTTGCTAATTCGATACTTATTTTAATGGTCATCTCACTCACCCGATTGTCTGCATTCCTCGACTTTACTAATCCTCTCAATATTGTGAGGTCTCACATAAAACCGATTGCTAATAGACACTTTTTCTACCGATACATCTGAGTGGCTTTCCGAGCACTCCCGAACTGTTCTATATACGTGCTTGACTTGAATTAATTATCTTCACCTTCTAATATGATCATTCAATGCCATATTCTATCAATTGCCTTCATGCATAGCCTCATTATAATAATACAATTTCATTTGAGCGTAATTAGCACCATAGGCTGGTTATTTGAAACGTACTAGAGCATCAATCAATCAGTTTTACAATTCCAGGTATAGTTAATTTGGAAAAATAAGAGCTTGATCACGTCAACACTGGAGGTGATAACACCATGAATTATTACTCCCTATAGTATAACAAATAAAATTAATATCAACAGGAAAAATCACCTGAACCGTAGAATTAAATGTTACGTTAAAAGATAAATTTGATTTATTGACATATTAAGGGGAAACCCGCGCCAGAGCAACTTTGTACCTCGCGTCAAGCGATGATATTGTGATTTCTGTGATTGATTCACCAATTTAAAGTTAAAACTTCTTGTAGCACTCACTTCAGGCATCATATTACCATATTAAATGCCACTGGTATTTATAGATTTTGAAAAACATCACTTTATAATATTCTTGCCTCCTGACTCACATTTCGTCATCTTTATTCAGTGAGGAATTAACCCCTAAGCTGCCTTAAAAATATAGTTCTCTACAAACTTGAGATGGAAATTTTTCAATTACGTGCTCAATGCGAAAAGAGGCTTTCGCAGCCTGCAAGATTAAAATTATTTCCCATGTTACATTTTTCATCAATATTTATTTATATCAAATGACAGGCTTTATGTTTGTTATCATTAACCTTTTAGTCGACTTCGGGCTTTACTGGGGGGAGGAACATCAGAGTCACAAAAAGCGGTGAAGAGAACAGAGGAGAGGCTCACAAATGTAAAAGGTAGAGAGAAAGGTAAGATGAGTACTGTGAAAGTGGGCGAATATGGCATAAAGTCGGGTTATAATAGTTTAAAGTCAGAAGTCGACTGTCGGTTTAAAGACATTTTTTCGTATGGATGTACGTTGTCCAGAGTACTTCACATGGAGATAAGTCTATCGTGCATCCAGTTTCCTCCATATAATATAGAAAGGTTTTTGTTCGTACAATTTTATGTTGAATTTCAAATTAGAGTCTAATAAGGAATGTAATTTATTTATTTATATCAAATGGCAGGCGTTCTGATAGTTACCATTAGCCCTTTAGTTTACTTCAGGCTTCATAGAGGGGAAGGAACATCAAGGTGGAAAAAAAGTCGAGAGGGGGGGGAACAGAAGAGTGCTTCAAAGACAAAGGTAGAAAAAGGTGAGGTGAGAACTGTGGAAGTAGTCGAATATGACATATAATGGGGTGAGGGTAGTTTGAAGTCAGAAGTCAACTGCCGATTTATAGACTTTTTTGCCGTATGAGTATACGTTGCCCAGGGTGCACCACGTGGAGGTGAGTCTATCTCATACCCCCTAATAAGGAATGTCTGCAACAGTTATATTTGACTGGCAGTTGAAGCTGCAAAGCAAGCAAACCCGTAGTAAATGATAGTCCATTGTTTATGCCTACTGTGATACATAGGAAATGAAAATTCGGCTTACATTTGAAAAAAATGTCAATCCCAGTCCTCTAAGGCACTTTGTCAGTTAGTTTAAAGGTCCTGCCGAGAAAACACAGTATGATTTCAGACGTGATATTGCATATTATATATTTCAGGAAAGTAGCAAAGCTCTCTGCTTTATCGTAACAAAGCGATAATGATAATAAATAAGATCTAACATTCGTGCTTCCTCTCTCCCCAACACTGTCATGCAGATTGGAGAATTTCAAAGATAGGACGATTCCTTATTTTCGATTTAATCGATTTATAATGTTCAAAGGCTTAGTTTTATTCGATAAATTACTAAGTATCTGAATTCTTTTCAGTGATGATTTCCCACTCAATGATTTGCTTTGAAAAGAGGGTTCAAGGGAAGATTTGCGGCGGATACTACTTAGATAAGCCCTAATTAAACTACTCAATTATCGCTGTCAAAATCCCTAAATACTAAACTGCTTCCAAAATTAGCAACCAGAAAAGAGTGCGTATTAGGTGCAAAGCGCTTACTGTTTATGTTAACCAGGGACTCACAGTCCTGGTCATGAAACCCGATCAACGATATCCGACGTTTTATAAACTCGATTGCTGATTGGCTTAGATGGTCCTGATTACATGGCAGAACATTCCAGGAATGAGATTCCTTTGATCACTCTTGGTAGGGTTGTGCACTCCACATTTTTTTACTTACTTGGAACGGCCTTCTACATTCAGGCAATTGCGATGAAGATAAAACATGAAAATAAGTTCATCAATATTTGTTGTTTTAAGATATAGAATACTAGGTTAAATTAACAGGTTTCCTATTGGTAACCTTATAATTAACCTATAAGTCAGAATTGTTGATATACTCTATAATTATTCAACCTTGGTGTCCTCTCATTTAGCTAAATTATTGGCTACTAAAAGGTTAGAATTTTCCTCATAAAATATATGAACAAAAGACTGTCCTCAATTTGAGGTCAATGATAATAGGACCAAATCATTTGAGAGAATGGGACAACTTTGGGTCAGCAAAATTGGGTCATGTCTCCTTAATTAGTGCAGAACAGAAGCACGATGGTTTTTATTGGGTTCCCGAAATTCGATTAGTCGATCTATTTGCCCTTTATTTTCTTCTATATCTATTTATTATTTAATGTAAAATGTATGAACAAAAGAATGTCCTCAATTTGAGGTCAATGTTAATAGGACCAAATCATTTGAGAGAATGGGACAACTTTGGGTCAGCAAAATTGGGTCATGTCTCCTTAATTAGTGCAGAACAGAAGCACGATGGTTTTATTGGGTTCCTGAAATGCGTTTAGTCGATTTATTTGCTCTGCATTTACTTCTCTATCTATTTATTATTTAATGGCTCGGCCTCATTCAGAGCAACTTTTATTGAACTTTATTCAATAAATCAAACAAAAGCACTATACTAATAAAACTCTCATATAATAATATCTCTGTGTTCTCCTTCTTGGGTTCATCAATTTAAATTTAATCTTATTTGTCTTTGATGAATGCGAAGAGAAATTTCGGATATCTGCCCTTGTCTGCCTAAACGTAAAGTTGTGATTATATGACCAATTATAAATATAATTATGGGAACGATTAGGGAAAGGAAAAGACGGATGTCAAATATTTCATTATTTATTAATCAAATTAACAAGCACGTGATGAAAATTAGATTGATAGCTGACACCCACTGAAATGAGCCTGTAGCGGATGGCTACACGAACAAGCCTTGACGTATCCTCAGTAAACTCTAAGGCAAGATCACCTCAATAGTGCAAAGGAGACGGCAATACGATGTGGAACAAGTGTATTTGGCGATATATGTCTATCACAGAACTTATCTATTAAAATACCATGGGGGGGGGGGGGGGGGTTTGCTAAACGATGTGGCTGTCTGAGAGGTCGCTGCCCTCACGACGCCCGGCGTGACAAGTAGCACACGGCACCTTCGGGTCTGTCTGAGTGCGCATTAGATTTCTTTATTCAGCCAAAGTAGGTTGTGCACTTCATAACGCAAAGTATAGGGGCCGAAACTTAGACTTATGTTGATTACTCAGACTGAATACAAGCCAATAAATATTTACCTTACAGCAATTTAATTACAGCAGACTAATA